AGAAGCAGGAGGAGGAGCAGGAGGAGGAGGAGGAGAAGAAGATGAAGAAGGAGGAGGAGCAGGAGGAGGAAGAGGAGGAGGAGGAAGAAGAGGAGGAGGAGGAGGAGGAAGCAGCAGCAGCAGCAGAAGCAGAGGAAGAAGAAGAGAACAGAAAAGAAAGAACACACCAAAGGAAGAAAGGAGGGGAAAGAAGCGAACAAAATAATGTTCTGATCATCTCCCATGTTCTGGCTTGAAAAGGACAGCAAAGTGGAGTTAATAAGGTCAAGAGAGAAGGATCAAGACCTTTTCCCCAAACAGGCTGCCAGCAGATCCACGCAGAAGCTAAGAAAAGGAATTTGTGTACCAGATAATTCTACTAGCAAGCTACATGAAATAGCAGTTATTCCTAATGAGTCAGTATGGCAAGGGAAGAGATACTCTGTGCTCTTCCCAAAGTTGGGATCTACATCTCAATAGCAGGCTCATCCTGCCCCTGCCCCTGCCCCTCCCCCCCACAGTCAGTAGAGGACCCCTGGCAGGAGGATCTGCATCACTTTGATTAAAGATTATTATTAGGTGCAATAAAAGCTGCAAAAAATGAGTGCTAATTTATATACCCCCTTTCCCCAAGGGTCCTTGATTGAGAGAAGTGTGATTTGGTAGTCTGTAGTTATTAATACATCCTTCAATCCATTGGTAAATGGGGCTAAGCAATGGACTTGGATGCCTAGAAGTTGGAGGGTTTCTAGTTTATATTCTCTCTCTCTGATGTAATTCTCAATACTATCTTAAATGAAATGTCTACAACTGTCTAATTTAAATCTTTGGGTCAAAAATGAGAGGAGTTGAGCGATGTGTCTCGTTTATTTCCGACCTTTTGGGGGGGCAGAGAATTTGATAAGATTGCTAGATCTTTCATTTTTCAAGAGAAATATATCATGTGTTATTTCTTTATCATTATATCTAGCCAACCAGTGAACATTCCTTATTCACTCTCATTACGTGCTGAGTTCTAAGCCCTCTGCCCAAAGCACTGTCTTCAAAGGTGTCAATTTCATATGACCTTCCTTATTTTTTTCAGTATCTTTTAAAAAAATTGTCAAAGCTAGGCAGTGGTGACTCACTCTTATAATCCTAACTACTCAGGAGATTGAGATCTGAGGATTGTAGTTCAAAGCCAGCCCAGGTAGCCAGGTAGACAAATTCAAATTCAAGAGACTCTTATCTCCAATTTAGCCACCAAAAAGCTGGAAGTAGAGCTGTGGAAGTAGAGTGCAGATTCTAGCAAATTATATATATATGAAACAGCACCTTAGTCCTGAGTTCAAGCTCCAGTATAGTCACAAAACAAAATTAATGAAAAGCACTCTCTCCAGTTATCAAAATGCCTGAAACTCAGGCATACACAATAGTACATGGAATTTTAAGGGTATTCAGAATCATCATTCCAAATTCTGCACACCTCTCAGAATCCCATTCAACCATGACATTCTCTGCAGCATTATGGACCCTACTTGGGTATCTGAAAGTATCTCACAAGTGATATATTGTTTTAGGTGCTTAATAAAGGGGCAATGCTTCCTTCAGTCAGTCATTTAAAAGGGAATGCCCTAAACCTTCAAAACATCAAGTAAGATGTCACAATCCTGTACATACCTGACCAGAATCCAGAATATTTGCTCTATAATTGCTGCTATGTGTAGTTTTTAATACAAGTTCCTTCCTTACTCATGCTGGATTTAGAGTCATCAATATTTCCAGCAAGAATGCTTCTGAGCTCTTCAATCTCTTCTGTTCTGATGTTCTAGAACTTTCTTCTAAGCTATTCTCTCTCTGGCTTCTAAAATGTGTTTTTTTTTTTCCCTCCAAAATGCTAGACTCTTGCCACTTCCATATCCCTAATGCCTAGGGGGATTCTCCATGCTTTCTATATAAACCTTTTCCTTTCTTTTTTTTGTCAGTCATGGGGCTTGAACTCTGGGCCTGATGCTTGTCCCTCAGCTCTTCAGATCAAGGCGAGCGCTCTACCACTTGAGCCACAGTGCCACTTCCAACACCTGTTCCTTTCTAGCCAACAGTTCCTCCCTCCCTCCCTTCTTTCATTTCCTTCCTCCCTCCCTCCCTCCCTTCCTTCTTTCCTTCCTTCCTTCCTTCCTTTCCTCCCTCCTTTCCTCCCTTCTTCCTTCCTTCCTTCCTTCCTTTCTTCCCTCCCTCCCTCCCTTCTTCCTTCCTTCCTTCCTTTGGCAGTACTTGGAATTTAACTCAGGGTTTCACATTTGTGTAATAAGCAGTCTACCCCCTTAATTATACCCTCAGTCTTTTGCTATTACTTTGCTTTTTAGATAGGGTGTCATGCATTTGCCTGGGCTAGATTCAAACTAGGAATGATTTTCCTCTCTACTTCCCATGTAGCTGAGATTACAGGCATGATCCAGCACTCCTGGCTTTAGGGTTCTACCAACTTCAGAGGGTATCACCCCCTTGCTTGCTAAGTATCTAAGATAACAGGCAGGTACCACTATATCTGGCCTCATCTATTCTCCTTAAGGTGAAGTAGCTGGTATTGGAGAAACATAGACCTGGGCTACAATATAAACCCTACCATTCCTATAGTAGCCTTTGACTAGTTCTTTAAACTTTGAGGCTCAGTTTCCTACTCTGAAAAATGTAAATATTGTTAACACTTAACCTTGTTGGGCTTACACAACCATAATCACACACAGGTGAGCTAGGTGTATCAGTTCCTGGTGTGAATTTCTTTACCCTCTCCTCCTCCCACTTGCCTCCATGCCTCTCTCTGTTTTCTTTATTTTTGGAAGATTTAGAAAGTCTTGAAAAAATTACTGTCATTTTTATCCATACATTTTTTTTCTTGACTGGACAGTCAAGATATTTAAATAGCGACAATTGACAAAAAAATAAAACCAGGACCACAAATACAACCTGTGTGTCTAACCCAGGGTGTCTGAGCTCCAGGAAGAGGCCAAGAAGCAGAGTCAAGGTTTCTCACACAGACAGAGAGCAGAAGTAAAGGGCCCAAGATACCTTTTAACTGTGCAGGATGGCGGCACTGGAAGGAGCATCTGCTGCCGAAAGTGGTACCCTCCAGACAGGAGAAGGTGGCGGCGTAGACATGATGGTGGTCCGGCATGCCACAGTCCACAGGCTCACATGCCACCTGCTTGTTCCACTTGCCCTCTGTGCAGGTCACCGTGACGCTGGGTCCCGTCTGAAAGGCAGAGGCAGGCACAGTGAGAGATGGCAGAACGGTTCACCAGTGTGAGACACATCCTTCTCCTCTGGGGAGAATCTCAGTCTCATCCAGACACCAGGAGATCAAGACTTATAGTGTTCAGTGTTAGCTCATATCTAATAATCTCAACAACAGCAAGAATTAGATATTTCAGTTTCCACTATGTTTAAGAGACATTGTGATCAACCTCTGGATTACTGGTCTGAAAAAAGGATAAGGGGATTTAAGCCCAAAGTCAGTGCTCCTAACCGTAATCCACAAAAACTTCCAGATCAGCATTTCTACTTTATTGATGACCATCTTGAGATTCAGAAACCTCACAGGGCATGTTTGACTTCTTTTGCAAAACAGACTCTGAAACATGGCTACACAGTAGGATCCAGAGGTCTAGGCCTTCCTTCCTTCCTTCCTTCCTTCCTTCCTTCCTTCCTTCCTTCCTTCCTTCCCTGCCTCCCTCCCTCCTTCCTTCCTTCCCTCCTTTTCTCTTTCTTCTTCATTCACTCCTTTCCCCTCTCCCTCTCTTCCTACCTTTCTTCCTTTTGGCAGTACTGGCATTTGAACTCAGGGCCTCATATTGCTAGACAAGATCTCTGTCGTGTGAGCCACACCCCCAGCCTACCAGAAGCCTGTTGGAATGTTTGGGAGACAGCAGGGCATTGCCTGGGATATAGGAGACCTGGATGTTTGCCTCTTATGTTATAAGACCTTGGGTAGTGTGTTCTCTTGAATTCTCCCATTGGCAAAATGAATAGATTGAACCCAAGTCTTGCTCTATAAAGAATTCCATATTCTGAGACCCAACGGCTCAGTAGCCAAGAAAGACATGATGAAAAATATTTTTTAAAAAAACTGTCTATGAAAACTAAAAAGTTCAACAAAGATCTGAACTGAAGATATTAGGGTGGTGTAGATGGAAGGGTGGGGCTATCCTTGGGTGAGCCAAGTGAACAACTGTCATTGGCAGCCTAGAGGCTTCCATTCAAGGAAGAAGCTGCCAAATCCCACAGGACTGAAGGATGCCAAATGTTGATCTGGTATTTTAAGAGCAAAAGACATTTTCCTTTCCTAAGCACACATCAAAGGGTGTATAGAGGCCTCTCCCTGCCAAAACGACCTAATTGTTCCCATAGAAGTTCAGACCTGCCGTGGCTGACACACAGAAGTAGATTTCTAAGACAAGGAAGTGCAGAAGCTCTGTACACATAGGTGTTCCCAGAAATACATAATGTTTCCTGTGTGATTGCATCAGAGTCTGCCGGGGAGGCCCTGGAAAGTGTTACATCTATCGACAGCTCTGTAATCTTCAAATGCCAGAGCTGGAAGGAGCCTTGCCTGTCTCCTTATCCCCCTTTCCTCGCCCTACCTGAGATTCCCAAAGCAACACACCTGGCTGCAGCAACTTCCTGCCACATCACTCAAAACCCAACCCACTACCACTCATTTCATGCAGGAAATACCCTATCTTCCATCAGCTCTGTCAGTGACCTCTGCTGGCTTTCTCTGATGCCTGATTTACAGGTAGACTCAAATCCACACCATGTGGAGAGAAGGGTCTCTGCAGAACATGGCCTGATCATGCCAAGTCCTTCAGCCATCATCTGCTACCCTAACAGTAATTCCCAGACTTCCTGACTAAGCTGGCTCAGCACCAGCAGACAAAGAATTGACTCTCTGGACTCATAACTCGGGTGACTTGAGAAAGAAAGAAAAATCTCTGTCTGGGGAACTCTCACCAATAGCTTTCCACTTATTATTCCCACATGTGCCAGGGCAGATCTCTCTCTCCCTGTCCCCAGCACACACTACTCTCTGCCTATCTACCTGCTGGGCAGTTTTTATACCACTTCTTCCAGAGCATTTTCCTTAAGTCCTCCTGTGTTTCTACATCCCAATCATTATTTGTGAGTCCCCTCTCCCCATCAGCCACACAACAGACTGAGAAGAGTGACTCAAGTTGTTTTGTTCCCCAGTCTAGGGCTTGAATTCAGGGCCTCACACTCAGTCTGCTTTCTTGCTCATGGCAGGCACCCAGCCTTTCAGTTGTTAATTGGAGATCTGAGACGATGGCTGACATCTCTTCTGCCTAGGTTGGATTTGTATTACAATTGTCTGGATCTCAGCTCCTTGAATATGAGCCACCAGCATCCCCACTTCAGTCTGTTTTAATGACTTCTGTATCTCTAGGACCAAGTACAACTTCTGATTTATGGTGAATAGATGTAACGAGTGAATGAACAAATCAATCAACATCTCATTCACTTTTTCCTAAAGCAGGCTGTTTCATTACAGCAATGATCTGAGTGTAACAGCTTCATTCTGACATGTTCGGCCCGTAGCCTTGTAGACTTGCAAGCTACACAAACATAGTGATGTGTGCTATGGAATGCTTTTCTGCACAGGAAGGCTGGTTTGTTGGTTCCTTGATTCATTAATTCATTGGTATAAATAGGCAATAGATAATAGGCAATAATCTAGCTAGCTAGATTAGATATAGATAGATAGATGAATGCATGTTATACACAGAGAGAAGAGAGGAAAATTATATAACTCATCTACTCTGTGTGTCCTGCACTATTTTCAGGGCCAGGACTTCAGCAGAGCACCTGTTGCACAACTTTCCCTGGCTGGAAATGCTCTGCTCAGCACTCACACACACCTGGCTCTTGATCAGCTCATCATCCCGCTGTATCTGCAGCACATAGCCCGTCTGGCAGCTCACAGTGCATTGGGCACCATGATAGCGATCACTGCTGGAGCAATTGAGAGAAGAGTTCTTCACAACCAGCTCCGGACAATCTATGGTCTCGCAAGCAAAGTGTACACAGCTGGGGAAGAAGAAATGAGAAGGTAAGAAGGGGATTGCTCACAGAACAGCTTCACGTGACCTGGAAGATAAAAGCTGAGCCTCTTCCCAAAATTTCAGGAGGTTAAAGCTGAAGGAGAGAAAGGGGTCTGGGTTGAGGTAAAGAAATAGGATTGTGAAAACTGGGAGAGAGTGACGGAATGATCAAGATACATGGTACTCATAAACTGACACATTGTATCGCAAACCTTTTATACAACAACCTTAAGATAATAACAAATAAATACATGAGAAATGAATAAGAAAACTCTGGAGAATGTGACTAAGGGTTGTCTTGAAGAGCACAAGTTACAGAGACTGATTTCACATGCTCCCACTTGAAAACTTTGTATGTTATCAAGTTTCCAATCTTGCAGAGCCTCAGTGTTTCCATTTGTGAAATAGGGATCATTATAATTACAGAAAGCATTTATTGAGTTTCCTAGTAGTAAGACACTAGATCGACTGACAACCTCTTCGTGTTTTGTTGGAATACCTATTTTTGGAGGGTCATCGACAGAATTAAATAAGTTAATTCAAAAAGTGAACATAGCAGAATTCCCAACACATACTGAGCACTCATTGGTTAGTAGCATTTGCATGTGTGTACCAGTCCTGGCGCTTGAACTCAGTGGCTGGGCATTATCCCTGAACATTTTTGCTCAATGCTAGCACTCCACCACTTGAGCCACAGCTCCACTTCCGGCATTGTTGGTGGTTAGTTGGAGGTAAGAGTCTCATGGACTTTCCTATCTGGGCTGGCTTCAAACCACAATTATCGTATTTCAGCATCTTGAGTAGCTAGGATTACAGACATGAGCCACCAACACCCAGCTGGTAGCTAGTATTATAAATATATCAACACTCTATTAACTACCAGCTGTGTGACTTTCAGTTAGCATATTACCTCTCTATGCAGCATGGTACCTTTACATTTATCTTACTTTACAGAGTCATAGGATTCAACAGAAGTAAAGATAGAAGTCTTTCATTTCTGTAGAGTCACTTATGTATCATGCCGATCTGGATTCAGTGTATTCTTTAAGTTGGGGCCAGATGTACATTTCTCCAGAAAACTTTCCCGTATGTCCCCAGGTAAGATCCTTTACAAGCATTCTCCCCTCCTTCTTCTAACACTGCTGCCTCATCCACATCATTGAAAGCCCAGGGTGTGGGTGTCTAGCAGGTACTGAAATGCATGGTAATCTTTGCAGATGCATGTAGAAATGAGAGAACACCCCTGTGCAGGGATGATCTATTCTCCTTGTAGTTATGCAAACACTCAGTGGTGTTCCCAACTACTGAATGCTTACATCCATGAGCTCACTCCATTCTCACAATAAACCTATGAGCTAAGTGTTACTCATTTTACAGTAGGAAAAACTGAGAACTGGCAAGATTAAGTTACCTGTTTAAGTTCCCACCCAGATGTGTGACCCTAAAGACTCTGCCCTACAGCCCGGCACTAAAACATTATGGAGGACAGAGATGCCGGGTTCATCCTGATGTGCTTCCCTAGGTAACTAGAAATACCTTGCATACAGAAATAAATGCTGGTTGTACCTGACTCTGACTCCTAAGCATGGCACACAAGTAAGGCAGGGGATTCTTACTTTGACTTTTGCCCACTGACCTTGTCCATCTCCCCTTCACCCCCTCCCCCACCCTCATCCCTAATTCCCGGCCTATCAGATGCACAAATGGCTGGATTTGCATCCAGTTCTTCAAGATTTCTAGCAGGATACAGGGAGAAAATTTTGACCAAATTCGCTTGAGAAGATATCACTATTTTTTTTTTGCTCCTGTTTCATGATGTAACACTAAGGGCTTTTGGGGGTGGCATTGCTACTTATCCCCAACCTGCTACCTACTGGTCCAAAATACAGTGAGCAGTAAAGCGGGGAGGTTGACAAACTAAGAGCCTCCAGAACATATCACAAACTAAATGCAATTTCTAACTACTTCTAGAGGGCAAGCATTTAATGCAAGCCTTAGAGCTTTCCTGATGTAGCTTTATATATGCACTCTTCCAAAATGCAGGGCAGTTGGTCTTCAGTCACATCTGCTGAGCTCTTATTTGCCATTCCTTTACCTCTAGAAACTGCAGAACTACACCACGTGGAGACCTCGAAGCAGATATGAACGTAGAGTCAACCCACGAGCTACACCAAACAATGCACCACTCACGCGGTGCGAGGGCTGGATCCAATTTAAATAGATTTACTCTGTAAGTGACCACCTTCCCAGCTCAGTTCCCTCTGACTTGTGCCTTATAGATTGGACATTATAACTCTGCCCTCTCCAAAGGGGCAGAGATCTTATCCCAGGAGGACCCATGAGGGATGGGGGGATAAAGACTTTCTTTGCTTGCCTCAGAGACCATTGAGGTAAAAAAAAAAATGGCATCCTCCTCTCTGTTCTGTGCACACTAAAACTGTTTTTTCATAGGAAAATTAGAAAAATAGAGACACCTTGCTTCTCAGAAATGGAACTAGAGCTTATCATTTTGGAGAAATCTTGGCTTCAGTTACAGCTCTGCCACTGATTAGTTGTTGAACCTTGAAATTTTTGTAACACCTCGTTGTCCTAGCTTTCTCATCAGCAAGGTAGAAGAAATAAAATAATACTCTCTGAATTGTAGCAGGTTGAAATGCCATCCATCCATTCATTTACCTACTGGACACATCTTAACTAGGAGCTCACTGTTGTGTGTGGGGGTGGTGAGGAATAAGTAAGATGCTCTCTATTTATGGAGGAACATGTTCTAAGGGAAACGAATCAACAAGAGCATTTCAGATGGTGATGGACCCATTGCAACAATGAGATGTACAATACATTATGTCGAAAAATGAACTTTACAACTTTGGCGCGGGTGGGGGGTGCTCAGGATGGGAAGGGCTGGAAGGGGAAACAAAGGAGGAGGCAACAATGCTTGATAAGAAATGTACTCATTACTTTGCTCATGAAATTGTAACCCCTCTGTATGGTATTTTCACAATAAAAAACAAAGGTAAAACATGGTTATGGAATCAAGGGGAAATTATAAAAGGAAATTGCTTGGGAAAGGCAGGAGACTTTTTATTTGAAAAGATCCATCAGGAAGGGATCACTCACTGACCTAAGACTTAAAGGGATCAAACTTCCAAAGGATTGAGGAAGAATGGTTCCCTGGCAGATGGAGGAGCCAGGACAAGGTGGTGCATGGTGTGTTTGTAGCACAGAAAGGTCCATGCGTGAGAAAGAATGATCTGCGAAAAAGTAGTCTGCCCCTCACTCTCTCTCTGGTACGGAGGAAAATATTTCCTCATCACAGGAAGTACCTGACCAAATGATTCTATAATCACATGAATAGGGACACCAGGATTTGATCCATTTTTTTTACTGCAGATATTCCACAGTGATTTGAATATTTGAATGCACGCTAAAAATGATCTGAAGGAGCTGAGGGGGAAATTTGTTTTCTGAACTCTGCCACCCTTTTTCCCCCCTTATAACTAGTGTTTTCTGACGTGCTTTGGGGAGTGAGGCATCCCTGGTTATTTGGCATCTCTGCCTGCACCTGGTTTTTTGTTTTTTGGGGTTTTTTTGGCCTATAGATAGGAAGAAAAGGGAAAAAAGGAATTAATATGTCTCAGGCATGAGCCACCCTGTTTCACCTATACCACCCTATTTGCAACCATGAAATAACTTCTTGATGTAGTAATATTATCAGTGTTTGGGTGTTTCAGACTAAGAGTTCTAGACTGTTTGCCCAAGGGCACTCAGCGTGAATAGAATGCTGATAGAGATTAGTCTGCATGCTCCCGAAGTCCTTGTTCTTTCCTTTGCTATCTTGCTGGTTGGAAACCTTTGTATGAATACACTGTCTGAAAATGATGAAGACAGCCTGAACTGACCCTCTGACCTAAATCCTGATACATGCCTGTCATTCATATCTGAAATACAAAACAGAAGTAAGGAAAACAAAACAAAAGACAAGGCTCTAGTTCACTATTTTTTTAATAGGGGAAGGATTTCATATCAGTGATGGACTGTTCATAAAAATTACAAAAGAAGGGGGCAATTAAGGCAAGTCTTTGAAGGTAGAAGGGTGATTTGTTGGGTGGATGGGGCAAGAGACACAAGTAACTGCATCTATCAAATTCTCACACCTGGGCAGAGATGGAAATCCTCACAGAAGCAGAGTTAGATGCTTTAGTATTTTAATTTTCTTCTTTGTAAATATATAAATATGTGTGTGTGTGTGTGTGTGTAATGTGTGTGTATGTTCATGTATGTATATACATATATATGTATATATAATTATCTTTAGTTGTACAAATAGGTTTCAATGTATGAGTACAAAGCACCTTGATCAAGGTCACCCTGCTTCTTCATTCTACCTCATCTATCTCAACATCCTTCATACCTTCAAGTGATCTGGCTCCAGTTTTATATATGTGCATTGAATATTATGGTTATAGTCACCCACCATTCCTCTCTCACACCCCAGTAATCAGTAAGGAGGAGGAGGAGGTAGAAGGATCAAAGTTCAAGACCAGCCTCTCCTACTTCTTTCCTTTGGATATGTATTTCTGTTTAAAAATAAAACCTGTAGATTCCACTTATACAGGAAAGTATTATGTGATCTCATCACCAATCCCCCAAACACTGAAATGGAGACTAACCACGTGTACAGAGGACATCTGGACCCTACTGAGATCAGGGCAAAGCAGAGGTTGAAGGGCTGGTGGGGACTTCCATTTGACCCACAACTTAACTTCTGTGGCATGCTGCTTTAGCTGCAATTATACCATGGAGAAGTAGAGATAATAACAGGCAAGCTGTTTATAAGTCTTTCTGGGATATTCAGATGCAAACAACAAAGAAAAAGCTACAAAAAAAGAGATTTTTGTTCAACACTGGAAAAGGAAAGGAAAACTGTCCTGGTCATCAGCTCTATAGAATCACTCAGGAAGTGAGAATGAAAAAGAGGCAGCATGA